CAATTGCTACTACTTATCACCCACGTACTTAACACCATTAACAAAATTTGTCGTTTTGCGTGGATCATCAGCCTGCATTTAACCTGGGTTCGTTCTCAAGGCATGCAATACACCTTCATCCCACCTTCCCCTTATTCATTCTGTCTGAATTCCCTCAAAGTAAAAGTCTGATTTCTCACACACATTTGTAGATTCCCCTTTCACTACGCATGTCCTGACATACATAATAAAATAGAAGTAATATCCTATCATAGTTATATTCGGATACCCAGGGAATAACAGATAGGGGAAGGGATCACACACGTCAGACGAAATTATACCTAAAGTTCCCTGCCTCCAGAACCCCGCCTGGGCTCCGGCAGAGCTCCCGCAATCGGTGGGTGGACCTCTCACAAGGCCTTGAGTGGGACAACTCAACTTACAGGAGAGGGTCTTGTTGCCTTGATTCGCCTGAAGGCCCCGCAATGATGGTCAAAATGCAGTGACCACGGCTGAATTCGTGGCCAGAACAAAGAATACCCACCCCCTGATTGACCTCCAAGTCTCAGCAATGATCCCCTCCTCAAGCATGACTACCTCCTCCAAGTCTCACCGCTTCCTTCTAACCAAACCATAGCCGGACGGTTTAGAGTGATAACCTTTAATCCAAGCGCACTCCCTAATATTCTTACTCAAAATGCAGGCGACATGTGACAGGGTACGGTCAAAACGCTTTGTGCCCCACAGCAGCGCATAACAATGAGCACCGAAAATAGGCACAACGTTGCTCACTAATACAGCAGCGGGGCGTAGTGGCGACTTAGCAACTATACGATGCACAGGAGCGCACGTTGCCGGCCTGCAACACTCGATCGCAACGTCAAATAATGACAACTCCAGTTAGTCGCCCAATCAAAGGAACGCAGACTATGTCCTTTCTTGAAAGAAACGCCCGCAACTCCAAAGGAATGCCCAGGCCACCCCTGGCTCTAACCATAACAACAACGGATCACAGTTGTAGCATTACCAAGAGCATAACGGTAGCGGCCACAAGCCGCACAACAAAACCGTAAGAGCATTTTGCTCAGCAGAAGTTGACGTTACTGCGATAATCCCTCCATGGATCGCCAATGGCCCGTGCTTCAGTAACAACAGCGAGGTGGACTAGAAATCATGAGCCCGAAGCATCCCTGCTCAACAACAGTTGATGGCCACTCCGAAACCAAGAGTACTAATGTTCAAAAATCCAACAAGTAGCACCGCAGCCTAGAAGTATGGTGTTTGAATAGAGCACACCCCCGTGCTCTACTCAAAATACAATAGTTGCAGTCGAACTCAACAAGATGTCGCTCCCAGAGCGATCGTGCGTAATTAGCACATAGAGGTAAGACAAGGTACATCCAAAACCTCGACCTTCACAGTATACCCGACAAATCCAGCCATGCACAGTTGCGCAATATTGCCAGCACCCTGAGGGAAACAGCAACCTCCGTCGGAATTGCAACAGTAAGACACAGCAGTCTGGTCCGGCAACAGTAACTGAGTTGTGCAGACCAGCGAGCACTCCGAACAAACGGTTGTTGATTCAGTGAGCCAACCGCAGTCTCACGGTGCAAAGTGTTCACACTTAGACGTGCATGGCTTAGTCTTTGAACGAGCAAAGGACAGTTGGCAAGATCAACCAGGTATACCGGCACCCTATACGAGAGTGAAACTCCTGCTTGAACACTGGAGGATGTGGTGCTGCGGGAGACACTCGCCGCCGGTGCTAGTTTTGATCTTATGCGCGTTGGATGAGGTTGGAAGACGAGCTGGCAATGACCGAAAGAGTGTAGTACAGTCGAACTTGGAACCTGCAATGCAACATTCTTTGTCGCAATGG